ATGTGGTGAAGATCAGATAACACGAAATGATATCTGGGATGTGGTGAAGATCAGATAACACGAAATGATATCTGGGATGTGGTGAAGATCAGATAACACGAAATGATATCTGGGATGTGGTGAGTTCTGATAGATATATGTGAAGCGTGCTTACAAAATGAGTAGCTTCTTGGATTCGAGTCCAATGGAAATAGGTATACCACGCTTAAAGGGGAAGTTTTTACTATTTTTAAGTATGAAAAAGTAAAAGGCGTTTTATACTTACAGAATATGGCATCAATAGAAAATCTACAAATTTGGCCCTAGTGTCGATTTCTTGCCAATATCTCCATCTGCTGAATGCGAGAAGTAACTCATTTTGTCAGCATGCCTCACATATGATAACAGAAAAATGATATCTGGGATGTGGTAAGTTCAGATAGATGTGATAACAAAAAAAATGATATCTGGGATGTGGTAAGTTCAGATTGATATGATAACAGAAAAATGATATCTGGGATGTGGTAAGTTCAGATAGATATATGATAACAGAAAAATGATATCTGGGATGTGGTAAGTTCAGATAGATGTGATAACAAAAAAAATGATATCTGGGATGTGGTAAGTTCAGATTGATATGATAACAGAAAAATGATATCTGGGATGTGGTAAGTTCAGATAGATATATGATAACAGAAAAATGATATCTGGGATGTGGTAAGATCAGATAGATATGATAACAGAAAAATGATATCTGGGATGTGGTAAGTTCAGATAGATATATGATAACAGAAAAAAAAAGATATTTGGGATGTGGTGAAGATCAGATAACACGAAATAATATCTGGGATGTGGTAAGATCAGATAGATATGATAACAGAAAAATGATATCTGGGATGTGGTAAGTTCAGATAGATATATATGATAACAGAAAAATGATATCTGGGATGTGGTAAGTTCAGATAGATATATGATAACAGAAAAATGATATCTGGGATGTGGTAAGATCAGATAGATATGATAACAGAAAAATGATATCTGGGATGTGGTAAGATCAGATAGATATGATAACAGAAAAATGATATCTGGGATGTGGTGAAGATCAGATCAGATAGATAAGATAGAAAAACTGTGATGTTGTAAGATTGGATAGATTTGATAACACAAAATAATATCTGGGATGTGGTAAGATCTGATAGATATGATAACAGAATTATGATATCTGGGATGTTGTAAGATTGGATAGATATGATATAACACAAAATAATATCTGGGATGTGGTACGATCTGATAGATATGATAACAGAAATGATATCTGGAATGTGGTGAAGGTAAGATAACAAAAAAAAATATCCGGGATATGATGACGAGAAGATAAGATAACACAAAGTAATATCTGGGATGTGATCAGATCAGATAGATATATTTGATATGATTTTAACAAATACATAAGTCATGGTATGATCAAAGAGGATAAGATTTAAAAAAAAATTATAAGTCATTGTGAGATCTGGAGTTAAAATAAAGTATGATAAGATCATGTCAGATAAAGTAAAAGTAACTACGAATAGATTGGGTAATAATGATACGGTTGCATCCGATAACTCATGTTATGATAAATTGTATCATGATGCGCAGTGGAATCTGGCGCGCGTCAAATTTTGGGCATCTAGAGTTATTGGTATAGCCTAAAAAAAAAACTTGTTGATTTGTCTTGCTTTTGATGAAAAAATACCCATAATTTATTCATGAATAGAAATGGGAGATATTTTTCAATGGAAAGAGGTGGAGGTTTGCCTGGTGTCAGAGGTAAATTTCACGAGAAAATGGCCGCCAAAGTTTGGTGACTTCCGAAGCTGTAGTGTCCTTGGGGACTGCAAATTCCTCGCTAACTTTCCCTCTCATTTTGCTGTCCATCAATCTTGCCTGTTTGCCAGCAATAGATGGCCATTATTGTATGCAGGGATGCCACTTTTCCATTTTTTTCTGATATTTCCGGTATTTTGATCCTGATCCTCTATTCCGTTATTGAGATCGAGATAGAATCTATAGTTTGAAAAAAAAAAATCCCACACACTTGTTAAGTACATCTAATCTATTTTTCTTTAAATGTTTGTAATTTCTTTCTATATACACCCTTTGTTTTTGTTTGTTTGTCATTTCTCTCTATGTATACCCTTTGGGTTTCAAATTGATATTCATATATAAGCGAGACCGTGGTGCGTGGATTTTTTAGCTATTTAAAAAAAAGTTGAGTGACATCCCTATGTATGGACGAGCTTCCCTTTACTCGAGCAACAGGAACTCGTAACATATTTGTAACTAGTGTCGGAAGTAATGATTCCATGCTCTGCTGTTGCACGAAGAAGTTCCTGTGCGGAGAGAATTTTTATTGAGTATTATCTGTCTTTTTTTTTACCCTCGGTTGTACGGGGATTACAAAGCTAAGTAATTTCAGAGATGGAAATTTAAACTTGCAGTACCGAAGGCTCATATAGGAAAGGAAAAACCCTCAAGTACTGCACCAGTTTAGAATGCTAAAGCCATAGTAGAATTTTTAACGAATTTTTAGAAACCTTCACAGCCCGAGAAACACACTTTAAAAATTCACAGTGTTTCATCAGCCGTTCAGCTATCGCATTGAGTGACTTCCTTGTACGGGGTGCCCATTGGGGGATCGTGTTGGGGCGAGGCGGTTTCCTTGCCAGATTGAAGGTGCAAAGCGGCTATTGTGGCAAATGCCAATCGCGCCTGACTCGTCGCCTCAAAAACAAACGCGATCGACCTGACCAGACCCAACACGCGCAGACCAGACCGGCCCAATCCCATCCGCAATGGGCATACGGTATTAGATGTTTTTTTCAGTGCAGTGGCGCCGTTTCTTGTTTAACCCTATCCGTACGTCGTGTTTTACTATCATTTCCATATGATGTGGGGAACTCTGTGCCACTACTTTTTGTTAATCTGATCCGTACGCTTTGTATAGCAGTCTGTCAAAATGATTTTTTGAGAAATAATGACAGTTTGGAAGAGATCCTCATACCAGAAGTATTCTAAACTGTGAAGAATACAACCCGGGG